TTGTCTTTCCCGGCCAAATACCGGATATCTGTCGTGAATTGTCCGACAAAATCCAAGTGTCGAGCTTGTCTTGGAGAGCTGCGTAGTAAGTCTTGCTGGAAGGCGTATATTAACGGTTTATGATCCGTGTATATCGTGAATTTCCGTCCTTCCAATAAATGCCGGAAATGCTTAACTGCTGTGTAGATTGCCAAGAGCTCTCGGTCATAAGGGCTATATTTTGTCTGCGCCTTATTTAGCTTCTTGCTCATGAATGCCAGCGGTTGCCATTCTCCGTTTAATTCTTGTTGCACCACTGCTCCGAGTGCGGTGTCGGAAGCGTCAGTGGTCAATGTAATGGTGGCTTCGGTTTTTGGATGTGCCAAGAGTGTGGCCTTTGCAAGACTGTTCTTGCAATTTCGGAAAGCCTCTTCCAATTGTGGCGTCCATTCTACTGGAGTTTTCCCTTTCATCTTTGGTCCTCGTAGAACATCGTGTAACACCGCTTGGTCTTTTGCTGCTCCAGGTACAAATCTTCTGTAGAAGTTGATTGTACCCAAAAATTGTCTCAATTGTTTTATAGTTTCAGGCTTTTTGAAGTCTTGGATGGCCTGAACTTTTTCGGGCAATGGGCGAGTCCCCTCTGTTGACACCAAATATCCCAAGAATTTTACTTGTGACTCTCCGAAGTGACATTTGGCAGGGTTTATTTGCGTGCCGTATGCATCGAGTCGAGTGAATACCTCCTCCAGGTGCTTCAAATGTTCTTCCTGTGTGCTGGAGGCGATCAGGATATCGTCGATGTACGCATAGCAGTAATCTAAGCCATGCAGTACCTCGTTTATGAACCTTTGAAAGGTCTGCGCCGCGTTTCGTAGGCCGAACGGCATGTACCGGAACTCAAAAAGTCCGAATGGTGTAGTAATTGCTGTCTTGGGGATGTCGTCCGGATGCACCGGGATTTGATTATATGCTCGTATCAAATCCAGCGTTGAAAAAATATTCTTCCCGTTTAACGAGTGCGTAAAATCCTCGATGTGAGGTATAGGGTACTGGTCAGGTACCGTTCTCGCGTTGAGTTTTCGGTAATCCCCGCAAGGTCTCCAGGTATTCTCCTTTTTGGGAGCCATATGTAATGGTGCGGCCCACGGACTTTTGGAAGGCTGGATAATCCCTTCTTCTAATAAGAGATTGAATTCCGCTTTTGCTGCCTTTAATTTGTCGGGTGCTAGCCTGCGTGGTCTGCATGCTTCTGGTGGACCACTCGTGGTCTTAATGTAGTGCATGGTTGAGTGCGGCTGTTGCCGTTGATGTCTCCCTGGAGATTGTGTAATTTTGGGGAACCGTGTCAATAATTGATGATAGGGAGTGTTTCCTATCATGGATTTTATTGATAACAGTTCTTTCCTATTTGCAGTCCCATTTGCTTTGAGTCCCGTTTTCGCGTCGACTAGTTGCCCTTGCTTCATGTCCGGTAGGAGATGAAAATGCGCGAGGAAATCGGATCCTATAATCGGGGTAGTTACGTCGGCTACCATAAAGCGCCACGGAAAAGCACGGCGTAATCCGAGATTAGGTTGCAAAGCGATGAACCCGTATGTTGATATGGTAGACCCATTTGCAGCAAAGAGTACGGGTGAACTAGATGATCGTCGTCCTCGAATCATTGTTCGTGGATAGACGCTGACGTCGGAACCGGTGTCTATGAGGTACCGCGTTTTGTCTACGCGGTCCGTGACGAATAAGCGGCAGAATCTCGGGCTTGAGCCGTTTGCCGCCACCAACGGGTGCCCATCTAGTTTTCCGCTTCCTTTTTGAAGTTACACGGCTGCGTGCACTTCTTGGCTTTTTCTTTAAAACGTCGGTGATAGAAGCACTTGCCTTCCTCATCTGTCTTTTCCCTGGAGCGACTTCGAGAGCGTTCACGCACCTTTCTTTGCGTGTGTGCACGCGAGAGTTGGCCTTTTAAGCTAGCCACTTGTTTCGTTAATTCCCGAATTTGCTGCTCCATGTTCGCTGGTTGAATACTGGCGACGGTCGTTGCTCGGCAGGAAACTTCGTGTATTTTGTCCGCCTGCTCTGCTACTTCGTCTAGCTTATCCGCGGATCTGGTAGCTAAGATTGCCTGAAGCTGTGATGGTAGTCTGCCCATCCACAGTGTTCTTAGCAATTGCTCCGGGATGGCTGAGTTGGCTAGGGCTTGCAAGTGTCGCAGGAACTGAGAAGGCCTGCGATCGCCCATTTCCTCGTGTTCCAGTAATTGGCGTATCTGTTGTTCTTGTGA